CGGAGGAAGTGTAGGGTGGGGAAAGCGAGGGGGGGGGGGGCTGGAGCCTTGGGTGAGGGTGCAGGTGTGAATTCTTAAGAGGTGAATTCAACAGCATAAACATAGCCTGACTTCAAACATGGGAAGAGCAAATACAAATAATCATGCTTTCTTTAAGAGCTAACAATGTCATGTGCTTAGGAAGGGTCATGCTGTTATCTTTGCATGTCACCTGCCATAGTAGTAATCAGGCAAGGCTCATCCAGAGGCTGCGTTCATGTAAGGAGGCTTAGTCCTCTTGAAACAATTGTTTAATCAAATAGAACAGAAAGTATGCCTGCAGCTAGGCCAGCTTGCCTTAGACAGAAGGTCAATGTAATTACCTTTCTTGCTTTCCTTTTTATTACAAGGTAGGGATATATTGATACTCTTGCAGAAGTCTTATTGAATTTCACATTATTTGAAACAGATGGCCAAAAACATTGCTGTAACAGTGCTGCATTTTGATGATGACAGCCTACAGAAGGCTCTACCTTGTATACAGTGTTGAGCAGTTACTGAGGAGTGGGTTTTATACAAATTGTATTTTGTAGCTTGCCAGAATAAATTATTAAGTCTTTTAAAGTCGATGCAGTGTGGCCATTAGAAACTCTGTTTCTAAGGTGTGGGAGCTCTAGCTCATATGGATGAATATACAAAGCAAGCAATGGCTGTAGACGTTGGGATCTCAGTCTGCAGTTGCCCCTTAACCCCTTCATGACTGAGGCCCTTTTTTCATTTTTTGCACCCATGTTATATTCCACATTTTAGGCCTGAAAATGACGTAAAACCCCCCAACATTATATATTTTCTGAATGCCAAGACCCTATAGAATAAAATGGTGGTAGTTGAAAATTTTTATGTTGCGCAATATTAGCGCAACTCCTTATTAAACCCCAAAATTTAGTGACAAATTTAATTAAATGCCCCAAAACACAACAAATTACCCATTTTTTAAATGAAATATAAAAGATGAGGTTACAACGAGTAAAACGATACCCAACATGCCCAGTTTACAGATTGCGTGCGACCGTGAAACGGCGAAAAACTGCAGTACCCCAAAAAGTCAATAAAAGACACTTTAAAAGCCCCCACAGGTCATCAATTTAGAGATACCCCAAAATACTGGCCCTAGAATTATTGCTCTCACTCCGGCGTGCGCGGCGATACCCAACATGTGTAGCGCGTTCGTCGTTTTCATGCGTAGGCGCACCCGACGCGTGTTTACGTGGCGACGCGCGGGGGCGGGGGACTTTTAAATTTTTTTTTTTATTATTATTAGATTTATTTTATTTCATTTTAATTTTAAAAACTGTTTTTTTTTTTTTTTTTACTTTACTTTGACTGCTATCACATGGGGGGGCTTGCAAGCCCCCCCATGTAATAGCAGATGGTGGTGACAGGTCCTCTTTAAGGTGATGCTGGGGGTCCAAAAGACCCTCAGTGTCACCTTTACACTGGAAATAAGCTATTGAAGTGCAGATCGCACTTCAATAGCTTATAGCTGGGCTGCAGGAGCCCAGAACTGACAGCCCAGGGACCGGAAGTGATGCAATCTGCATCGCTCCCGGTCCCATAGAACGGGGAGGGGATCGATGAACGGAAGTTCGTCGACCTCCTCCCCAGCTCCCCGCGGACACAAAGATCGCCGGTCCCGGGCCCGTAGGAGGGGCAACGGAGCCCGGGAAGCACGGCGGGGGTGTCCGGCGGGGGGGGGGGCCCTTCTTCGGGACGCAGAAGCGATCTGGCGACAGGTAAGTCGCCAGGATCGCTTCTGTTGTAAAGCCGACAGTCGGCTCTACAAGTGTAAACAGACTCCCGTCGGCAAAAGTCGCCGGGAGTCTGTTTAAACAGCCCCGATGCTGGCGACGTACACTGTACGTCGTCAGTCACGAAGGGGTTAAATCTAATCTAATCAAGGGATGTGACTACAGATCATGGGACCCATATAATGCAAGCCTACTGGTGTGAACGGGCCCTTAGCAATGTAACATGTATAAAGTGTTGACTGTTGCATCGCAATAATTTACATTTCCAATGATGACTGAAAAAAAATAAATGTGGCATATAAATTGTAGCTAAACTATATCTTAAGTCTAAACCTTGTATTCCAATTTAGAGTAGGGAATGGGTAAAACTCCTGTTAGAGTTTTTCCCCCCATTTGTGTCCCACTGGGGAGAAGAGGGAATCTCTTAAATTGTCAATGGCACTTAGCCCATTAGAGCCCATAGTCAATGGCTCATTAACATATTTTACCTTTATTCCTGTTCTAGTGACCTCTTAAAATCTTGGATTTTCCCTAACTGGAGACATTACTGTTTGTGTTCCCTTTTCATGAATCTGCCAGAAGTTCCATCACCTTACCACTCTATCCACAGCTAAGAAATGGTTTTGACTCTAAATTCACTTTCACAAGATCCCCCTTGTTCTCCTGTGTCTCTAGACTCCTATGGGCTGCCATGCATTTGGAAGGACTGATGAGCAAACTATAACTGTCTATGTAGCTGACTAGGGCAGACACAGTACTGCACTAAGCTGGATGTAAACAAATTGAGAGGCCCTTAGGTGTGAGCTGCTTGAATGTAATGATCCATTTTTTTTATCTGATATGCATCTCTATTGCTTTAAACATTCTTTATAAACAATACAAATAAGAACTGCTTTCGGTTAAAGTGCCATTTAGGGACCATGTAGCCTCTTTACAGCTTTTATTTGACTTTTTTCATATCATGAAAATGTGATCAGCTTAATGTAAACAATTTGAGTGGTCATATTTTAAAACCTTGTTTGCTGAATACTCTAGGGTCTGTTTATTGACGTTTTCTGTATAGGCCAATGTAGTTGGATCTGTATGTGCGTTATAATTAATCAAAATAAATTGATTTAAAATTTTCGTGTTCGATTAATCAAACTTTTTTTTAATCAGTAACAGCCCTAGTTTTCATCCAAGACATACACAGCTTTCACTCAAAATTGACAGAATAAATTAGAACTTTGTGGATCTTGGATGAAAGTTTTGTAAATCTTGGGTGAAAACACTGATTAACAGATGCTTCTTTGTGTGTGACGTTCCAGTAACATAACTCAAAATACCCTATAGTTTACTTTTCCCAATGATCTAAAATAGGTAAGAACATTGCTTTTTGGTTTAATTATGTGTCCATATATAAGGCAGGCATCAACTTTTCAGCCATGTCTCTATTGCATTGCCGTTATAAGGAGATCAGATTGTGGAAGAGTTTAATAACATAACACTGATATTCTAAGGTTCTGAACCTATCATCTGTTAAAACCCACCTAGCTTGAGCAAAGGGCATTTACTAGAGGTGCGCCAAAATTGAATTTTCGGACCGAAACTGAAAATGTGTCAGGCCGAAACGGAAATCACATTTTTTTTTTCTAACTTTTTAAAAATTATTTAAAAGTTTTTTATTTTGATGATTAATATTTTTTTTAACTTTACTGTTGGGGGCTTTGGTGAAATATCAGGGGAGGACCCCTGATATGTCCCTTTTAAAATAATAAAAAAAAGAGATTGAGGACACTGAATTCTAAATCTCTTTTTCTGCAGCCTCTGTTATGAATATACAGTAAGCCTCTATACTGAGTGCTTCTGTCCATTCATAAGTTGAGGAGATAGTATCAGTTACTATGCCCAAAATTATGAATGATCAGGAAGTAATGTAGAGTACTTCCTATTATTTCATGATTGGAGACACCGTAAGCTTACTATGTCCTCAATTATTTACAAATGCTCAGCAGTCAGCTAATTACTGAGTGTTTGTATACCACTCTCCATTCTGCCACAGGAGGCTGAGTGGGCGGTGAGGGGAGGAGAGCTCAGCCTCCTGTGACACCACTGACAGCTGGCTCCTTCACCAGCTTGGCCTCCTGTGACAGCTCTCCATCTTGATTTGCTTGTCACAAGAGGCTGAGCGGGCGGTGTGGGGAGTAGAGCTCCGCCTCATGTGGCACCACTGCTAGCTTGGCCTCCTGTGACAGCTGTCTCCTCCCTGCACCCGATTCGCTTGTCCCAGGAGGCTGGGCAGGGAGGAGAGCTTGGCTTCCTGTGACACCGCTGACACAGTCATAGGGGACGCAGCGCAGCGCCCAGCGGGTAGAAGAGAAACTAGAGATGCACCACATTTCCGGACAAAAAAATTTACTTTCAGCATTTTGCCCAAAATAACATTTATTTATGGTAGTGTTCTTTGGTAATAGACAATCATTATAGGGGCAAATAGGACTAGAACAGACTTTAGACATGACACTTCTAAAATGCAATGTATCCTTCATCATTGGAGGACCCTATTGTGGCTTCCACCTCAGCATTGTGTTAATTACTGCATAAGTGAACTTTAAAAAAGGAAAATGAAGCACTGCAATTGAGCATAGAAGTGTCAATGATGCAGAGAATTAAGACCTCTCTCAGTGATAAAGGTGAACTTACGTTTCTGGTTTTCACTTCTGTGGATGGAAGGGGAGGACGGGGATCGAGTGTCCTGGTCTCTGCTGTCTGTTCCTTCTTCATCTGCGAGGTGAGTATGAGCGTAGTGGTAGCTGAGTCCAGGTCTGTTCTTGTAACGCTTTCCACAAACTATAAAATTAATATAGAATTAACTCTTACTGAGAACACAACACATCACAGGCAAACTAAAGCTGTCCAAGTACACATGTCCAGTGGGACCTATCTTATACGTATATGTATTTCTAAAAAATATTAGATACTAAATACAAATATTAAACCAAAATTGTTTCAGTGCAAACACTGCATTGGTTAGGTCAATCTGTATATGTAAAATTGTATTGCTGTTGAGTTAGAGCAGGGCTAGTGAATTAAAATTCAAGAAGGTCCAGTGACCAAATCTCTCTTCGAGCAGAGGTTCGGATTACGGTCCGGGCAGAATGATCACGTTGTGCCTGGTTTCACTGAAAAAAAGTACAGCATCCATCAGTTGTCCCCATCTTAGTGCCCCCTTACATCGGTTATCCCCATTCATAGAACCCGCTTGCATCAGTTCTTTATTGGAGTGCCCCTTTACATTGGTTGTCCCCATTCTAGTGCCCCCTTACATCAGTTCTTTATTGGTTGTCCCCATTGGAGGCCCCTTTACATCGGTTGTCCCCATCAGAGTGCCCAGTTGCGTGATTTGTCCCCATCAGAGTGCCCACTTACATCAGGTCTTCCCCATCAGAGTGCCCCTTTACATTGCTTGTCCAAAAACAGAGTACCCCCCTTACATTGGCTGTCCCCATCGGAGTGCCCTCCTACATGGTTTGTCCCCATCAGACTGCCCACGTAATGGGACACTCTGATGGGGGGCAACCAGGGTGTTGGGGGCACTCCAATGGAAGCAAAGAATAATTGGTTGTCCCCATCAGAGTGCCCTTTTATGTTTGTACATACTCTGATGGGGGTAACTAATGTAAGCAACAACTCCGATGGCAGCAAATAATAATTGTCCCTTTCAGAGTGCCCCCTTACATTGGCTGTCTCTATCATTGTGCCTGCTTACATTAATTGTAAAAGTAAGTGGGCACTTTGATGGGGGCAACTAATGTAAATGGTGGGAGCAAATAATAATTAGTTGTCCCCATCAGAGTGCTCTCTTACACTGGTTGTCCCCTATGTGCCCTCAGAGTGCCCCTTTATAGTACTTTTTTTATCATTACTGTAGGTACCTGTTGGGAGGCAGAGCACGGTGCCAAAGGCAGGGGGTGGAGCTGGGAGGGGCCGAGAGATCGGGAGGTGGAGCTGGCTATGGGTTGCTGAAGAGTGTGGAAGATACTCTTTCGTCCTTTTTCAGTGCTCGGCGGGGATCATAGTGATGTCATTGGTTGCTAGGAACGTCACGGTTCTAGAAACCAATGACACAGGGGTTCAGCGACTACAGTCCGGACTGCACAGCTGCTCAGTCCGTTTCTGGATTGCAGTACGCCATTTGCGGACCCCTGGCTTATAAATTATAGGTCTAGCACTACCTTTTAAAAACTATGTAAATACCACTTTTTATTTGAGCCATTTCATGTCTGCAAAATAACAGTATGCTTCCCAGTACAGACCGGTGCACAGAGCAGTGCACATCCACAGGAAATGAGGAAATAAATTAAGTGTTTGTGGTACTGTAAAAATCTGTTCAAAGAAATGACTGGAAAAAAGAGGACTATACCCCGACACATATACGTCTTGCTAAGCCCTGTATGTAGTAAGGTTTTTTTTAATAGGAGCGCTATAACATACATTGTAATGTCATGTGTGCTCCCATAAAAACTAAATCATATTCTCCTTATAACCTACTTTAGCTACAGTAAGGCACATTAAAAAAAACCTTCATGCTGCAATAGTTTGAGAAATATTGTATCTTTACGCAGCTGTAGAGATATTGGGACCACATGCAAATCAGATTCTTACATTGTTCGCGGGGGTGCAAAATAAGAGTTCTACGTAGTCTCCCTAAATAACAGATTGGCATCCCTGCTATGGAGTTCTTAAGCAATTGCATCTGCGTCTTTTGAAGGGTAATACAATTAGTAAAGTGAGACAGAACTAAACAAAAAAAACAAATTTGATGGGTTATAGGGAACCACTAGAAATGTAATTTGTACCCCTTGTCTTCATTTCCTACTGAAAAATAGCAGTGAGCTTCCTGGTATCTGAGGGTGTATAAGCACTCCTGTGCCCACAAACCTATAACTGTATATCTGCAGTATGAGATCTAAGACACTGCTGTTATTTTATTTATTTTTTTTAGGAGATTTGGTGATGTCAAGACTGTGCTGCTCATTTTTCTCCTTGCTGGAGGCTCTGACATTAAGATGAGGTCTTGCCACAGTGCAGAACAATCCATATATGAATAGATGTGATATATATAGAATCAATTTTGCCTTGAAGCAAAGGACATATATTGGTTAACAGTGCAGAACAAGGCATGGTAACTCAGTAACAAGGAAAAGATCAATTGAAGGAAGCAGACAGGCTACACTGGTGACTAGTCCTTTGCCCTCTGTTTGCCTGTTTTTGGAAACAACTTCCAGACTTCAGTTTCACTTTAAGAATGCTCCCTGGGAAAGTGGTATGTAAACAATCTTCTCCGAAAGAGAAAAGAACCTAGTCATTTATACTGATGTCCGAGCAGCTTATTTGCATTGGATAGAAATGTATGTCAACTGAAGTAAACGTGGATAAATTAAACCTGCAGTAGCAGGTAGCTCACAGCAAAAGCTGTCAGAACATACTTCTAGCTTTTACCAGCTTTCCCAAACTAAATCTTCAAATAGCAGTTCTCTGAAAGTCGTTCTGTGCATATGCATATAATCATCTTTCACACCCCCATGTGACGAGGGAAAGACCTACCTATATAACAAATTGAAATGCTGGGAAGGAGTTCTGAACGCTGCTGGAGCAAGGCATGAGACGAGACATGTGGTAACTGCTTATGCTGTCAGTGTAAGCAAACCTGTACTCATTTCTGAATACTGATATATTTGCAGACAAAACAAACATTCTGTGAAACACAACATTAGCAAACACTTGTAATGAAACACAGTCACATTGCATCTGTCTATCACTAATAGTTGGGTTGGTGTGTTCTTTCAAGGCATGTGGTAAACTTTTTTTTTAGTACAGAGTTTCCTTCCATAAATTATAAATTTCCTGGATGCGGGTGGGCGTCTGTAGACGTCCTTCGTGCCCGCTGGCGCGCACGAGCGGGAACCCGCCAGGATTTTAAACGGCCAGCGATGGCCATTTACATACAAGCGGTCCGGCGTCTGTAAAGACGCCCGATCGCTTGTATGATTCAAGTGAGGGTGCGTCCCCCCTCCTTACCTCTGGTCGCCATTGCTGTCCATGCGATCCCGGGGGTCCATCTGTCCCGGGCGATGTGGCTCTATTCACTGAGAACGGAGGGAGCTCAGTCCGCAATCTCCCTCCACTCTCCTCCCGCTCTCCGAATGCAGGAAGTGATGTACATTACATCACTTCCGCATTCCTCTGTCACTCTCCGGTACAGAAACCGGAGAGAAGCTGATGAAGCAGATCTGTGCTTCATCAGCTTCTCTGGGGGTCCCTAGGTGACATTAGGGGTCTTCGAGACCCCTGATGTCTCCATAAAGGGGACCTGTAACTGTAATGTATTTATCATATAGGAGCACCCTATGTGATAACAATAAAGTTAAGTGTTAAAAAAAATGCTCACAAAATAAATACAAATTTACAGACACAAAACAAAAAAACCCACAATTTTTTTAAAAAGTCCCCCACATAGATGCGCAAAAACGCGTTACATGCGCCTACACGCAAAAACGGTGATTGCTCCAATTATGCTGCATGTGTTACATATCGCCGCGAACGTCGGAATGAGAGCAATAGTTCAAGGGCCATCAATCACTGATAACACTAAACTGATGAGCGGTAAAAAATTTTAAAGTGTCGCCTATGGCAAATTTTGGCTATGGTGTTTTTTTGCGATTTCGTGGGCGCGCGCAATTTTAAGGCTTGACATGTTTGGTGCCTATTTACCCGATATGACCCCGCCTTTTATATTTTACCAAAAAATTGGGTAAAAATAATTGTTTTCTAAAATAATAAAGAGAAAACCATATTTTTGTAAAATATTCAGTACTTTTTTTGTTATGTAAAAAGTAAAACCCCCAGTGGTGATTAAATACCACCAAAAGAAAGCTCTATGTGTCCCCAAAAAATGGTATAAAATTCATTTCAGTACAGCGCTGCATGACGGAATAAACGTCAGCCAAAGTACCGCAGCGCTGAATACTGAAAAATGGCCTGGGCAGGAAGGGGGTGTAAACACTAGGGCTGCAGCTAACGATTATTTTCATAATCGATTAGTTGGCCGATTATTAAGTTCGATTAATCGGATAAAAAAAAAAA